CTCTTAAGTCAATCAAAATAATTGGTATTGCCTAACACTGCCCAGCAACTCCCAAAAGGCAAATGGCATACAGTTTCAGCATTCAGAAGACCCATAGACAACAAAATATCATCTGGATATGCATTATATCCATGCAATAAAACAAATTAATCTGTACACAATGAAAAAAAGACCCCTGATCCCAAAACACTAACTTCATTATATTCATCGAATCCTTCTGTATGCTTCCACATTTCTTCTTTACAAATTAACTTCAGCACTCCAGTTGAAATCATAGATCGGTATATGAAGATGCTCAAAAATCAGAGATTGATGAATTACATCTTGCCCTTTCACAATCCTGAGGTTGCAGAGAAGATCGACAGGTGGAATCTGGTTACAAGGAGGATAACGCATACAAGTCAGAAAATTGCTTATGCATAGCACGCGAAACTCTTTACTATTTAGACTACATGATGAGGCACATTAAGGTTTCAATTTGAATTTCTGCTGCCTGGGAACACAGATCAAATTACATCTGGAGGCAAAGCAATCCCTGACTACAAAAGGTAAAATAGAAAAACATCATTTCCTTATGCTAATATGGCGTAAGATAACAGACAAAATAGAGAGACAGAGCAACTTACATCTTAACAGCCAACAACACAGCTTATTCCTTGCTAGATCTTGCCCAAAAGAAGCTTTCTTTCTTGTAGGATGATTATCTAACAAGGTTCTGGAAGAACCCTTCGAGCCAAATGAAAAGTGTCGCCTTAAAAAGGGCTTCCCAAAAGAGCTTCTCCCACTGGAACTGGATTCCATCCCGGGACCTTTACCCTGGCACCCTCTCCCTCTAAAATGATCGAACACAACAGAATCATCATCAACATCCCTATCGACAACCCGGTTCCTTGATTTCTTGTTTCTAGCCTTCAAATCCATTTCAGCTTTCAAAGCTTTTTCTGACAGCTTAAGAGTTTGATGCTCACCAAAAGTGCAAATTGGGCAAGCCGGGTCATACTTGTTAATCTCGGGTGTCATACTTTCCAAACATTCAGCATGATAAACATGTCCGCACATAAGGACCGCAACTATTGAAAGGTCATTACTCGCAATTATCTTCTGGGTGCTCCAAGAAGACTTCTCAGATAAAAGCTTTGAGCATACACCACATGCTTGCAAATCAACAGGTGAAGTTACAAGTCTGGCTACTGGATCTAACCAACCTTTCACGATTACAACCAAAAGACTCACTATCAAATGACCATCTTTCTCTATGGGAATGGCCATCAGGTCAGAAAATCCAGGTATAGACCAACCATCGGAAATCCACCACGGGAGCACCTACCTGATTCATTGCTCCATGAAGGAAATGCTGGTCTCTTCAGACATAGAGAAGCTGCTTGGTGACTTAAACCCTGGCATTTGGCTATCAGAACCTTGCCAAGGTAGCTGGTGTCCTGGGGAACGGCATGGCCACCTTACAGGGGTTGAAGTGGACGGAGGCAGGTGACTTCGAGATGACAAGGGAGATGCTGACAGTGAAGTTGAAGCAACGAAAGCGATGGTTTTGCAGGAGATGGGCATGCATGATACCATTGGTGATTCAGCCAACCCCCTCACCTGAAAATATCCATGCATAGAGGCCTTGTCAAACAAATCACATGCACACAGCGAGCAAAAGCGTAACACAAGAAGTTCCTTCATTACTGTAAGCTCACCTGATCCACGTTGACATCCATGGAGGCATTACTTGAAACAAATTGTTCTGCGGTGAAAATAATAACCATGTCAAAAAAATACATTAGCCAGTTAAGAGATTTAGCATTCAACAGTGAACCATCAGATTACAGACACTTATAGCAGGGTAGATGTCTCGCATGAGACAGACAGCACAGCAATAATTCTTCAGCAAAATCTAGTTTTTCCTAAACCTCCAATAAAGAATATGACTATTCAATAGTTAGTTACTGTTTGGAAGAGCTCCAACATGTCTGCATTTTTTTTTAATTACTTTAATAACTGCTATCAGCGATATTATCAATGTTTAACATGGATTAATGAAGCAAACAGAGCTTTTTTTGATTCCATTGTTGGACATAGATTCAGATTATTTAAGAAACTCGGGCCACTATAGTGCTAGGGGATGCATCAGAATACCAACATAATGAAGCTTAGAACAGATCTCATATCATCTTGCCCATATGATGTCTTACCATGGTAAACTTAGAAACTTGTCATTGATTTGTGTCTAACTACGAACTTCAAAATCTGCTTTGAATAAGGTATCTTTAAGAGTAAAACATCACTTCAGACAAAACCATGCAAATTAAAATGGAGGATTTGTATCTTAGTTAAAAAAATTCAATAGTGTCCACAGATCTCATATCTATGATAAATGTTTATAGAATAATATGAAAGAGCGGGCTCAATGGAAGTTACCTGAAGTTGATGTCCTCGCCTGTCCAGGAGTTCCTTCAGAAATTGGTGTTTCTGCCATCTATGCCTCTGATAATTCTGTGAAGGGCTCCCATCCTCTGATGCATATGTTGATTCATTCTTATTTTCTGATCCCTCATTCCGGCTAATACCATCCGAAAACCAATTTATAGAAGTATCTTCACCAGCTACACGCCCTCGATGATCCCAGCGAAAGCTCCATGTTGGAGAGTAGCGGATGTTCCTATGCAAAATTTCATTAGCTGATCCACTTTGGTATGGTTTATCTCTGGCAGCCACACAACAAGAAGCACCCATCCTTGAATACACAAAAGTTTCTGGCTCGTTATATTAACACAACCATCAATTACATCTTCAATTACAAATATGCACCATTAACCTGTCAATACAGTTGTTCGCCTACAATGTTAGTAAAAAGGGTATATCATCAGTTGAGATTATCAACGGAGTAACACTTGTAAGTACACTCGGAAAAAATAAACAAGTTCATAAAGATTTTGACATCTCTATCATACAACTGAAATCCGTTGTTTCTTTGACATACACTTCACTCAACTCAGAGGCCATTGCAGATTACAGCATCCAAAAGAGTTAGAAAGAAAATCTCAAGATATAGACTCCAAAAAAGGAGCTCAAAATCAGAAGAGCATGGAAAATGGGGAGAGACTGAGGACAATCTACTGCAGAGATAATTCATCGAAATCCATATGATTTTAGGTTTCAAGAATTTTTCTTGCAAAAAAAAAATGAATACAAGTAATCACAATTGCAACAGCAATCTTAAGTCAAAAAGAAGGCCGCGAGCAAAATTAACACAAACAGTTCAATAGTGTGACTTCTACAGAAACAGAAACACACCCCATAATCTTATTCTACTCTCATAATCAGTGACGGCACCAACCGCAAATAATCTAACAAACAAATCGCAGGACTTCAACAGCATCAACTAAAAAAATCCGTGAAAAATGAAGATAAGCGCCGAGAAAATGATGAAATCTGATACTCATAGATGAACTGAGAGTGAGTATAAATCTAGAACAACAAACAGGCCAAAATTAGGAGGAAAAAAATCACCACACTGAAAAGTCATAACGATCCGAAATTAATGCAAAAATAACGGAATTTCAGTCAAAACCACCGAAGTTTCCATAAAACTAACAATAATAGTCTATTAAACAAAGAAAGCCCTCTATAATATCCCCCATATTGTTGTATCCAGGAAAAAAAAAAATCTCCCACATATTGTCATCGCAATATGAATCTCCGTATACAAAAACACTATGATCGAACCACACGTGATCAGGCCATACCTTTCCCGAAATCAAGCCCGCCAGCTCGCCCTTGGAGTTGTAAAGCGAGATTCTAGAGAGAGGAAGAGGGAGGGATGAAGAGCGAGAGTGTGGGCGAGTGATGTTTGATGCTGCAGAGGAGGGAAGAGAGATGAAGACGAGGAAGTGGGGGACGCCTTCGGACGGTGGACTTAACCCCGTTACATAGTGTCCGCAGCGCAGTTCTCCTCAGTGGGGTAGATGACTGTGACGGAGTTAAGTGACGCGCGGCATGCGAATTTGTGCCACCTCGGATTAAAGTTCTTTCCTCGTTGATTTACTCATTATATAAATATACTCCTCCGATTCTTAATATAAAACTCATTTAACTAATTTGATTAAATTAAGAAAGTTAGGTAAGTTAGTTAATTATAAAAAGTGACACATTTTTCCTAAAACAACATAATCATCTTTTTTAATACCCAATCTCCCTCTTCTACTTGATTATAGTGAGAGAGTTTCATAGGGGTAATTTAGATAAAATTGATAAATATGAGAAATTGGTCTTATATTTAGGACCAAAATTAACTCAAGAATTGAGTTCTATATTAAAGATCGGAGGAGTATATATATATATTTCCCATTATATATAGTATTTCTATTTCGCCGTATAAACAAAAAAAGAGTTGACACCTTTCCGCATTTCCTCTGGGCTGTTGCTGTGCTGATGTATGCGGAGTGCGGACCCTTAAAATATGGAAATTCATTAAATATAATTTAATAAATTAATGGCCCTACAAAATTTTCTTTCAACAAATTGCAGGTATTTTCAGATTTTCTGTTTATGGATATTATTGCCTATGCATCCTTTCTCTGTCTTCTGTTTTTTGGCTCTCTAATTTTAGTTTATGCAGTTCATTTTTAATTATAAAAGTCTTACTTATTTCCCAATTTTTAAGCGCAGGTACAATATTGGTAATTTTAAAAGGAATTATTAACCATCAAATGTATTAATAAATAACATTAGTTTTTTTTAATTGAAAAAAGGTGTGTGAAAGGGGGGAAGGGGGAGGGGGAAGGGGGGGAATATTGGTGGGGTAAAAGGTTAGACGGGGCTGTGTCTTGTGCTGTACTCGGAGTGGGCACTACGCATTCCATGCTTCAGCACTCCTGATGAGAAAAAAAGGTCACGAAAGCATCCTAAAAATTAATATTTTCATGAGAGATGCTTCAAGAAAAACAAAAAAGCATTATTCTCTCTGATAAATTCCTTTCTTGTAATTTTTAGATTCTTTTTTCACCCCCTTAAATTACTTATATCTCAAACTTCTGTCCATGAACAGTCACAAGCCCCATAGCACATATGTAAATGTAGTTACGTTCTAATTTATTATATTTTTTGTATTTCATCATACGCCAATATGTTGAATAAAAGACAAGGATATATTTAAATCAATATATATATAATTTAACTCTAGGAAATTATATGTTTGATTATATAACTACCATTAATCAATATCATCTACGGATTAAATACTGGAAAATAAATTTACTCAATCAGTTGCTTAGTTTTTACAATAATTATTATGTGCTCGTGCATTTTTCCCCCCACTTCTGGTGTTTCTTCAGGCTTTCTTTTTGGAGCCCAGTTTATGCATTTGCTCTGGCCTGAAAATTAGGATCCTATAATTCCAATAGTTTAGAAACACAAAACATGATGATATGAAATATCTACGTAACCCCAATAAGACTTAATTTAGCGAAATGAGCTAATCTTTCACAATATAACAAAATGTATATTTAGTGTCAAATAATACCTCGAACAAGATTATCTTTAATAAAAAGATATTCGTGCATAGAAAAAAAAATATTTATATATACACACAGCGTCTTCCATCTCATTTGTTATAATTTATTAGCCTCCTTATTAATATTTTTTCTTACATCAATATAATCTCAAATCTGAACGCTATTTTATTAGCACTGGAAGAATTATAATTTTGGAATGAGAAAATCATACATCGAAATGTGTGTGCCTGTGTGCGAGTAACATTTGGGGGCAAATCGTCCCGTTTAGATTTTGAGAGAGAGATCCAAGACACTTGTATATGCAAATCTTGAGTTCTTAATTTTTTCCGTATAAAAGATAATAAAATAAGGATGAACGAGAAAACTATGGGCTATTTAATATAATTAAGCTGACCATAGAAATAATCGTTCTCATAATCAAACAAGAGAGGAACCATTTTTCAAAGTAATAGAAATAGATGGGGAGAATGATTGAAATTAAGTCGAATTGGGCAATACATCATTGGCTCCCGATGAATGATGGAGAAATCACGGGTTGCAAATTCTGCAAGTCAAAAAACCACATGGAATATGGAATAGCAGCATAATTACAATACACAGGTGTCCAAAAGTCATTCATCATAATTTCTTTCCATCATACCTGCAATCCATTTTTTATACATATGATTCAATTCTCCTGTTGCTTTCATCTGTCACGTAAATGATTAGGAATGCTTAGCTTGTTTCTTTCGCACTACTCTCGTTTGTTATATTTTCCAAAGCTACATAGCCACATACGCAATATTTACTGTGAAGAATGAAGATAATGAGAAAGATGCCTTTTTATTTATAATAAATACGTATTATCTTCTATAGAATACTCTCATGTATATCACATCCGATTCTTAATATAAAAGCTAATTGATTAATTTCGGTAGATTGAAAAAAATTTAGTTATTTGTAATAAATAAATATTGTTTAAAATACCATTGTTAATCATATACTCCTCCGGTCCTTATTATAAGACCCCATTTGACTTTTTATTTGGTCCTAATTATAAGACCCCAATCTATTTTTTCTCTTATATTTATGCATTTTTTTCCAAGATAATCTTTCTAATAATGATAGTTTTAGCCAATATACTTAATTAGTAAGGATATTTTAGGAATGACAACACTTATTTATTATAAATAACCAATTTAACTTACTTCCTTAATCTCCTCAAATAAGTCAATTGGGTCTTATAATTAGGACCGGAGGAGTATAATAGTTAGAACTATCATTTAATGAAAAATTTAACACGCGTAACTACAACAAGTACTGTCTTAGGAAAAATGGATAAATATGATAGGCAAAGTGAATTGGGATATTATAATTAACAGCAAATTGAATGTTAAACTAGGTCTTATATTAAAAGACCGGAAGTAGTATTGGTTAGAACTACCATTTGATAGAACATTCAACATGTGCAACTAATACAAGACTATCTTTTAAAAAAATATAATAAATAAAGTAGATTATGGTTTTATATTTATAACTAAACTGAATATCAAACTAATTTTTATAGTAATAACCGATGTAGTATTTACAAAAGGTTGGACTTATAATTTTTATTCAAATTAAGACTTTAAAAAGTGTTTGATATCATCAGTTGAGCCAAACAACTCTAACATGAAAAGACTAATTTATTAAATTATGGTTTTAAATTGGTAATGTTACGATATAAAAATATTATTTTACACGGATGGACTCGAATGAAAAGAAAAAAAAAACCTTAACATTAGTTTCAAATTTTCTTTTGAAAAAACAGAACATAAAAAAAGCCATAGAATTAATATAGTATTCACCTGATTTTTAACAAGGTCTATGTAATTTTTTTATTTTTATTACATCCTCATGGTCTCGCTTAATTTTATTTAAGCGTATGTAGTTTTATTTTCTTTGTATCATATTAATATAGTTTCCTGTGAGTTTTAATTAGATTCCTATAATTTCATTTGAGTGATAAAAAAAAAAAAAAGCACATAGGTAATAAAAGCCAAGTGAAATTATAGGGATCTGTGAATTAATTTTTTAGTTAGACTATTCTTAATCATGCTTAAATTTGTATTAGCGAGTAGCATTAAATATTATATAGGTGTTAAAAATTATTTTAACATGAATTCTTGCTCATGTTTTCAGATTACTTAAGGACAGTGAGGTTTTCATGGAGAGCAGTGAGTGTCTTATAATCAATAGATATACAGAGTACAGGCATTAAAAAAACGAAAAGAAAAGAAAACAAACCCTTCTCCACCACCATAAAAAAAAAAAACCCTTATCCATTAGATTTATATAATATTATTCTAATACTTAATATAAAAACTAGCTAACTAATTTAAATGGATTAAGAAAAGTTAATTATTTATAATAAATAAGTGTTGTCTTTTCTAAAACATCTTTACTAATCAAGTGTATTGGTTAGAACTACTATTATTATAAGAACCATTTCAAAAATAAATAAATAAATATAAAAAATAAAATAGATTAAGATTTTATATCTAGAACTAAAATAAAAGTCAAATAAATGTTTATATTAAGACCGAAAGAAGTATATAAAAGTTAGGACTAAAGTTAAGTCCTCCTCCAACTATTTATTTAAGTAATTAGTGCTTCAATTTTTTTTTTTGGGGCCGTTTAGTGCTTCAATTACTTATACCAGTTCGAATTGATTTAGTAATTGCTAAAAGGGAGTGAGGGAAACGCAGAGTCGTGCACGCAAATGGAAAGTCGGAGGTGCGAACATGTCAGTGTGAACCTAAATATGCCTTCTCGTGGGTCCACAACGCCTGCGTGTTCTTCTTGTCACACGGCACCACTGCTTTTCCCCAACATGCCCTTCTTCTGCTGCATCTGAGCCGGGGGACTCGAGGGTATCATCGTCTTTTGGAAAGCGACCTCTATGAGCGGCCAACTCCATCTCGGTCGCTCTCAAGCGGTGCCATTCCTTTCTAATAGTCACACACGACACTTCAGCGAAATAGACATTTTAAAATATTTTTAAATTAATGTTTGTTTCTGTGCGCGCTTATCGCTGAAAAATTATTTCTGGAGATATTTTATAAAGAATAAAATGACTAAAAAAGACTGAACGTTTATAAATATAAAAAAAATGTTAATAAATTTTTTTTTATCAATTACAAATTGAGTATTATCAACACCAAATAAAATATTATTATCAAATCTAATTTGGGACTTACTGATTTTTAACTTCTTTTTTTGTCATTCTCTTTTTTATAAATGCTGTGATACAAAAGTGTTGACATCAATTATCATACTCCTCTGGTCTTTAATACTACCTCCGACCCTAAT